AAAAAAAAAAACATTGCCATTTGTTTGGATCAATAAAAGAATCTTATGTAAAGCTGTTGTTACGACTAATATTGTGAAACCTCGTCCACTTTTAAAAAGTCCCTTAAACCCCACCTGTTTAGGTCCGCCTATGACCTGTGTTGCACCCTCCTTGCCCTGCCTCATTTTCTGTCTCGGGTTGATCCTGTAGTATAGGCCAAAACGTGCCAAAGTGTCCACGTTTTATAGCCATTTTAATTGTTTCTATAGTATAGTAGTTACTATCCTAGTGTCTCATTTTTATTTTACTTAGTTTACATGTTTTTAATAATTGTAAAGCGCTTAGAGTTTTAAGGTAAGCGCTATATAAAAAGTGCCTAAATAAATAAATAAATAATAATTAAAATGGATTTAGGGCTAAATGGGGTGGGGTGGGTTTTATTATCTAATATGGGGGAGGGGGGGGGATCTGTCTTTCGGGTCATTTTGGTAACCCCGTGTGGGGGGGGGGGTGAATGGCCAAAAACTATTGATGTACTTTATTGATGCCGCTGAGTTACTGGGAGACTGAATTATCTTTGTTAGTACATAACTCTACACACTTTCGATTATCAACTCATTCAATTTCAACCAAAGTGCATAAAAAATTACCTCCCGATCAGTCTAACGCGTATCAACCTACTTAACATATGAAATTCCCCTCTTAAAGCCTACCCGAATAGTTTTTGTTCCATATAATAAAAGTGAAACATAATGATTGAATATAATGATAATACGGAGTTTAAGCTGAAGTTACTGATGGGCTCATGCCACTTCGCGGTTTTGAGCCCATACACGTTTTTTTTTTCCACATTCCAATTTTTGGGTCCGGTCCCTTAAACATCCAACGAGGACCAATGCACCCTGCAACCGCTGTGTTTGCAAGCTCGCGAGACGGCGCTGCATAGATGCACGTTTATTCAAACTTAAAGGTTCCATTAATTATTGATTTAACACAAATTTGAAACTAAAAATCGATGTGTAACATACTTTTTTTTGTAGAAACTGGACTCAAAAAATGCATGTCAATATATCTATTCACCCCCCCCACTCACAACCCCCCCCAAAATTGAAAATAAAAATCGATGTGTAACATACTTTTTTTTGTAGAAACTGGACTCAAAAAATGCATGTCAATATATCTATTCACCCCCCCCACCCACAACCCCCCCCCCCCACACACAAACACACACTTTTTTTGGGACATTGACACACACGCGCACGCACGCACACACACATCAAGAACCATTACTAGCTTTAACGGAAAACAAGTCAAAAAGTAGGTCCCAAGTAACAGTAACATCCCAACGTTATTATCTGGCTCGATTTAGCTGGAACCATATCATTAGACGGGCAGCCTCTTCCTGCTAACAAGTAAAACAAGTAGGACATTATCTCGTCTGCTGGTAGGGTGTCCATTGTCTGCTGATAACGTGGTGTGACTGTGCCAGCGTGTGTACAGTGTTACTTTGAATCAAAAGCCCTGAGCTGTGACCAACTTAACCTTCACAGAAAAAAAGAGATTTCAATTCTGTGGTTACCATTCGGAGAGAGAAAAAGAAGTGTCAGTTTGTTAGGCGGAGTGCGGTGATGCTGGGGAGCGGCACAAGACTACAACATCTTCTCGCCATCCATTTTTCAATTCATGTATTTAATTCTAGTTAGGAAAAAAAATAATTAAAAAAATGATTCCAGCCACGTTGTACATGCAAAATAAAAGCAGGAGTGTATCTGGAGTTGGCCCTCTGATCTGGATGGAATGCTGAAACATTTCTGAGCAGCAGCGGCAAACTAGGCGGCATAATTGGGGGAACAAACTTGTTTCGTTAACTTTAACTTTAAGCACAACTATTATTTAATCTTGAACATTGATTTTTTTTTTAAATTGCCCCGCCCCCCATCCAAAAAAACCCCACAAAAAGCAACAACCAAAGGTCACAAGCAAAGTCACCCCCTCCCCCAAAACCCATCCCCCACTCCCTCAAGTGGTCTACTAACTCCTCATAGTCATATCCCTTATGAAAACGCACAATACATGCATAAAGTATTTTTAAAAAGTATTCTATTTCATTGTTTATTCTAAATAAATCTTTCCGTAGGCTCCATTGCTGATCATTGCTATGCTAACATTGTGAGAGAAATGGTAGCCAAGTGCTGGGTGCTACCCACCCACAGCTGCACCCAATGCATTAAACAGATACACTACAGCTGTGCTATAATTGGAGACTTGTAATCGATGTAGGTCAATCCCATGGTGACACACGTGCCAGGTATGTCCCGTTTAGTTGACACAATGGAGTTACTGATGCATTTAAAACGACACGGTAACTGCGTATTTCGTAGGCACTTGGTGGGCACAACACGGAAGAGGGCTGGGACAACAGAACCTGGAAGTGACAACTAAAAAATAGGGTCCGTGTTCTTAGTGTTACATTTTCAATTTTGTGCCTCCGGTGTACACGTTACACAGTGACGTCGAGATGTTTTATTGATATTAATCCCATGCACCGTAATAAAACCGTGAGTCTGTTGTGACTGGACCATCAAATCATAGAATTTGTTTACCATTCGGATCCATTTTTTTTATTTTACAAGTAAGAGTAAGAAAAAAGTTGTTTCACTATCCTTAGTTAGCTATATATTTTTTAATTAGAAACGTATTTGTTATTTTATTTGCATGTACTGCGTAGACTGAAATAAATTTTGATTTGAAATTTATTACAGTACCGTATTTTTTAAAATTGTATTTGATGTGTAGTGTAACGTCAACGTGTGGACTATGCAGTGTGTGACACTCTGAGTGATAAGTATAATAAGGCTACGGGGAATTTGCCTTTTAATTTGTTAACAACATTCAGTTTAAAAAGGCCAACATTATAGTATTAATATTTAAATTAAAAGTAAAACAAGTGTGTGTTACTATCTATGATGTCATGTTGAATTAAATTTAAATGATTCATAATTTATTAGATTTTAAAAAATAATAATAGTAATTAGTAATAGCATTTAAATTAATGCTGCATTTACTTGCTTAAACTTAATGAATTAGCCATATTATGTTTTTTTAAATTATTTAGTAGTAGTAGGCCTAATCTTTGTGGTTCTGTTAATAATTAACTCTATAATTTTGCATAATTAAAAAAAGTTATGATTCTTATACCGTTCCTTGATTATTTAAAAACCTTACGTTTTGGGACATGTAATAACAGTAAAATATAGAATATAGAAAACCTACCTAGTTTGTTCCATTTGGTTGAAGTCAATTTATTTTTTGAAGTACCGGTAGGTCATATGTTACCTACAATAATAATCATTACTGATTTGCTGCTAAACAATGAGACCCATGGAGCATGAGGGTGCACATGACCATGAAATGAGAGGTTTCAAATGACAGGAAATTTTCTACCCTAATAATTTGTATACCGGTACCTACTATCTTCCAAACTCTATGAGCTTTAAAATCAGTTATCTTAGTTTTAGATACTTTTTATTATTGCTAACATTTAAATTATCAGTTCATGTCTTTTCTATTTCTTCAGGCACTTCACGATGTCAATAAACGGATTCAGTTTCTCTAAACTCGAGGAGGAGAGTAACGACGATGAGGTGGACATGGGAATGGGCAGTATGGACAGGGAACTACAGCCACACTTGTCTGCTTTGAACTCAAACAACTATCTACCATATGTAACACCACTAAGGCCCTCAGGAGAAAATACCTCAGAATCAAAAGACAGCACAGAAGAAATATGCGACTACCCTTCAATTGATATTTCAACATTCACAAGCAATGCTGAAAGTCTGGCCGCGCTGACTGAAGGAAGAACTGTCAATGATGTGCATTCAAATGACTTAATTCCCACTAATGAATTAAGTGGGCAGGTTATTACACAAAAGCAGTCAAATGTTCAAGTTCAGTACGCAGAGGGAAAAATAAATGTTATGCAAGATGCAGTTGTTGTAAGACCCGATGGTTCACAATACATTGACACTCAGGGAATTCCCCACCGTTGGTTGGAACATGAGCAACCCCTTCGACAACGCCGACTTCGTCTCCTCAAAATATTTTCCATTCTTGCCTGCATACTATTCTTTCCAACGGGGATTTTTGCCATTTATTACGCATTCCGAGCAGAGAAAGAATTTCAGGAAGGGATTGCAATAGGGAATATTGACCGTGCACAGAAATTTGCTAAGAGGAGTGAAAAGTTTATAATTGTTTGTTTGGTTATGGCTGTTGTCATAGCAGCTCTGATTGTGACTATTATTGAGAGGCCTTATGGCACATCCATGCCACGTGGGACTCTTGTGGGCTGAGATATTAATGTTTGAATCCGTTGTGGGCTGAAATTTCTTTTTTTCAGTAAATCAAAAGTTAACATTGCAGAGATCTGTTGTTATAGAAAATACCTACAGGTTTATATTTAAATATCTTTGAGCTTGGGAAGGGAATGCTATCTCAAAGTCATTCAAGGTGATTAATTACAGGTGTTAATGATCACAAGGTAATTGGTAAATATTTCATAATAAAATATAAATCATTCAATGAAAAAGTTTTTAAAAACAGTTTCTCTATTTGCCGATGGACTAGCTCAAAAATGTCATTTATATTAGATATAATGTAACTGCCAATTTTGTGTCTAAAATGCCATGCAAAATTCTTTTACTGGTGTGTTCTGCTACTGGTACCTTTATTTTTTAATTGTAACATAATTTTAAGGCAGTTTAAATGTCATAAAATATTTATATTTCGGTCGTATATAAGGACTAAGAAAATCTTAAAATTCTAAAGAAAATTCACCTACATCAAATCTTATTACTAGTTACTAGGTATTCTCTAAAATCACAAATAATTAATCGTGTTAAACAGCTTTTTTCTTAAAATGTACAATTTTATAGAAGTGTAATTTTTTTAGCATCAAATTTAATTTTTGTAGTCTTCTTTTTTACATTTATTTTCAACAGTGTGTTGTTATTTTTTTTTGTCCTTTGCATTCAAATATGACCAACGCTATATTCAATGGTGACTAGATGAGTATGCAGATGGCTTGCCAATCCTATTTGTTCCTGAAAAGGTTTTGCTCATGCAGGACACACATTTTTTGCTTTTCCTTGATGTATGCTTTATTTGAAGCATTTTTTTCTAACATCCTTCCCCATTTAGGTAAACAAAGGGGGTCACAAATAAGGTACTGGTAGCTTAGGCACACAAAAGCAATAGCCCTAAAGTGTTACTTTTACAATGTAGCACTCACATCATCTGTTGAGTGTGCAGCAAATAAATTAGGGTAAAAAAAAAATGGATATTAAATAACTAATGAATGTATAAATAATGGCCTTAATCTCATCACTATTAAAATAGATCAGAGTTGTTACAAGTTATGTTTTATAAATACTATTTGCTCATTTGTTGCATTTTTCTATACCGGTATATCATATCTGCTGAACTCCCCAAAAGCCTTCCTCAATATTTTTTTTCTGTGGTCAGAAATTTTATTTCCTCATTTACAACTTTTTTTTTCTGATTTTACTACTACCGGTACTACTACTACTACTACTGCTGAGTGTTATTTTAAACACTGCTCAAGCAATGTGCAGAACAAAATAATGTTGCCTTATTTGTAAATAATTATTATATCTGCAATGATAACAATTTAATCCAACAATTATAAACTAAAATATCTCTTGATCGTATGCATTTAATTTTAAAAAATGGTGGTATGTAAATTTAAACATTGTTATTTAAGTTTTTTGTAAATTTATTGAGAATCTCACTATTCGTATCTGTTTAATATTTAAATATTTAGAAAGGCACTGAAAGTCATGTCACCTGTGGGCTCAAGCTCAAAATATGTTTCTAGACCACTGGGTATATATTAATTTTTTATTAAAATTGGTTTTATTTTTGCTCTTTGATGATGATGTCCGTGAATGAAATGCTTTTTTGGAGTGTGTACCCAACTAGTAGCAAGTATCTAATTAACAAAATATGTCTTATATAAGTAATGAAGATATGTTCAACATTCTTAATTAAATTGAATGAATGTTTGACTTTCAAGCCTCTTTTATAATTTGTTATGGAGTTTATGAATTTAGTTACCTGTTTTAAGAAATAGTTGCATAACAGAAAAACTCCATTATTAATGGACTAAATTTAACATGGGTCAGTTTTCAGACCAAAGAAAGGAGATAATTTGTTGCTGTTAAACTTTGGACTCGCTCATCTTTCAAAGATAATTCATTTACATTTAAATGCTGAATAAATAAATAAATGGAAGACCATTTGATCACTTGCAGTAATTGTAGAAAAACCTTAACGGAGATAAAATTATTCAAATTAGTTAATATAAAAAAAAATGACACAGATAATCAGATACCAGTTTAAAAAAAAATTAAAAAGTAGATGAAGGAAGGGCTTTAGAAAAACCCTATATACTTTTATCAAATGTTGTGCAATTTATAAACTTTGTAGGTGTTGACTTTTATCAGCAAATTATAATTTGAAAACAATGTGTACAACAATTCATTTATATTATGCTCATTTTCTGTGTTGTAGATACAACTTACACCTATATAAATTATTTATAAATATACTCAAGCTATTTGATATCAAGATCTTCCAATACCGGGTATCAGTTTCACATCAGTTGAATTGCACAGAAATTCCATTATCTTGTGACTGCCAAAGTTTTAAAACCATTGTAATTGTAATATTATTATTGTAGATATAGCAGATGTGATTATTTTAATATATTTTTAAAAAAGATTGCATGATATCATGATGTCCCATGATCATAATAGATTTGTAGAAATGTTAACAGCTGTTCCTATTTTTTTTATTCTATCATTAAAAATCCAAACAATTCATTTACTGTACCTATTGTGTGGAATTTTCTTTGTTACGTAAATCTATAATAAATGATAGTCTGGGAATTATTGTTTTTTGCAAACAGTTATTAGATTTGACAAACTATAGTACTAGGCTCAGGTGCCATGATGACCAGGTGCACTCATTTAAATAAAAATATGTTGATGCCTTCTTTAACATAATTTAGTGGGAAATAAATTAAATATTTTTTATTTGGTTTTATATATGTGTTAGTATTATTAACTATCGTATTTCATCTCAACATTAAAATTTCTATTCTTCTTTATTATGAAACCACAAAAAATCTATTTCAATTCATTCATTTCCTTTTTAAGGACAGATATAAAAGAAAACTTTTGAATCATTTTAAGTAATATAGCTAATGATGAGTTAGCAATGAATTTTTAGTGTAATGATTTTACAAATTTGGTAATAACAATGTTGCTCATAATGACTATCTTAAAATGACAGGTAATAAAATCAAGTTTTTTAAACTTTCATTTTATTTATGTATCAAAAAACGTTAGACCCAATTGTAATATTTTTTTTCCCTTAAGTTGAAAAGTTAACAGGTACACTGATGCAACATAACAGTTAATGTAATTAATGTAAAAGATTTTAACAAATCAACTACCGGTACATAAAATATAATTCATTAGAAACTTTTTTCAGACATATTAAAAGATTTTCCCCTCTTGCTTTGATGGAAATAAATTAATATCAACAGTCACATTATATTTATATCATACAAATATTTTGTTCATTTCCATCAGCCACATATTGGAAAATATTTTAAAATATTGGCAATGAATATATAAATGCTGTCAAACTATCTATAGTAAAGTATGGTATATACTAATAAATATTACATCTATTTAGTATTTGTTTCAACTTAGACATAAATGATCTGAAATCAATTTTTTTAAATAATGTAAGTATTATTTTACTTACATTTATATATCTAAATTAATAATGATACATTTCTTTTTCATCATTATCTTGATTATTACTGATAAAGTATTTTAAAAAATGATTTAAAAGTTTAATATCAAGGGGAAAAAGGAGATGGTGTCAAATTTACCCACATGCAGACCATTTAAATTTAATGACAATTACTTTCCATAACCATTTATCACACGATGGTCTGGGGTTATAATAGTCTGTATTTTCAACAGACAAGAGTGGTATTCAAAACTTCAAATCAAGATTTAAAAGAAATCATCACATAAGAAAGAGAAATGCCACACATACTTAATAAAATATGCTTTTTTTAAGGACTTCTACTTTAAAAAAAAAAAAAACAGTTCAATCATGTTTAGAAATAAATGTTTCCACAATTTAATATGTTACATAGAAGTAACTTGAAGTTGAAGCCAATGTAAAATATTTGTCAATATATGGATTATAACACAGTGGAAGTTGAAACTGTAGAAATATTGGTAGTTGGAAAATTAAAATTACATTGTCCACAAAAATTTCAAACTCTGTAATTTTTTAAAATAAAAGCCTCTGAACAAAGTTGCAATAATATAAAAAAAAACATTTCGAATAACTTAATCAATACCTATATAATAGGATTAGCAACTGCTTGTAAGAAAGAAATTCATTTAGTGTCTTACCAGATGCAATAACTTTGCAAATTTTATCTTATAATTCAAACGATAAAACAAAAATAATTGTATATAATGATCCACATTTATGCTTATTAAGACCCACAAAAATTATTTACAAGTGCATAAAAAAATTATCAGATCAAACCATACCATTAATTCCTTTCAATCAGTTGTTCTTTAACCTTTTACTCAGATTTCTTTTTGAAAGCATCATTGAAACATCACTTGAATATCATAACATAAAAAGCCATCAAACTACAAGTCAGTGCAACACCAATATGAAGCCGAGTGCCAATTATAGAAGCTGTGAAAAAACAAAGGGAGAGATCATTAAATGATTTAAACTGGTAGTCAGGGAAAACCTTCAGGGCACAAAAAAAATCTTTTTTTTTCGTTCTATTTCATGTACTTGTATGTGGTAAGTATGATCTGATTAATCGGCAGATAATCAGTAATCATATTATTATGCTCTTTGTCCATTTTGTAAATCTATAAACTGCTGCTTAGTATTTTTATAAACTATCCTAATCATCAATATTTTTTTGTGTTAACTGTTGCTGTAGGTTTAGTTATTGTGGAATGGGGGGAGGGAGAGACGCGAAAGAGAGCATTATTTGTGGCAATTATCTCTTGTAACTTAAGTCAATACAAATAAAAAAAATGTTCATATCTCTGGATGAAAATGGTATTGTGAATGAGAAATTCCCAGCAGAAATTGTGTAAAAATACCACATAGCTAAATTGTTTTATTTCATCAATGGAGGCTCCGGGCCTAAGTAATAATTTTTTTTTTTAAATTGTCAAGGGCGAAATTTGTGAAAGTGGGGCTATTTCAAGAATTAAAAAATATTTCTTACCTTCCAAGTAAACAAAATTAAAAACTGGACTATTTATTTGTACCATACATGCTGACGACATACTGGTATTATAGTAGCATCATTAACCTTGTTTTCAAATGAATTCTAATAATTATAGTTTATCTATTTACCAATTGAATTTTCATAATCTTAAACCTAATGCCACTAGATTGTAAAATAAAATAGCACAACCACTAGCAGCCTGGGGTTATATTTTACTGCTGTTAATTTAAATTTAGACACTATATTTAAATTACAATAATACGGTGGGGGGAACTGCAATCAGGTTAGATAGAAGGAAAAATGCCCGACAGGGTGAACTTAAAAAACAAACTAATATACAGTTATGGGACTTGGACACTATATGGCATAAATGTTATGTTCTCCTTCACTTTTTAAATCTTATCTTCACCTTTTTACAACCAATAGCCTTACCTTTCCTCTCTTCCTTATCCCTTTGCCTATATTAACTCCCTTTCCTACTAATGGTCTACCACAGTGGTCGGCAAATCGTGGCTCGCGATCTGAGTGTGGCGCGGCCAGAAATAGGTTTTGACTCCAAAAAACATGGTTCTTGAAAGGTTTTTGAAAAGAAATTTGTCTCTCAAAAAATTTTTTATCGTCCTGCTGTTGATATTTGGCTCTTTTGACTAATGAGTTTGCCGACCAATGGTCTACGACATTCCTCTTGCTGTCCTCTCTGATACCACATTGCAGCTAAGTTTATATTTGTGTTACTCTTTGTTTATTCGCTGAAGAAAGCTTCATTTGTTTTGTTGCATCTTTTTTTTAAAGAAACGAAAACTAAGCAAAATTGAAATCTTGTGGGAAAAGACACAACTGTTTTAATAGGTTTTAACAGGCTACTGTTAGACAGGATATTGCCATGAGAAAACCATTGCCAAATTTAACAAGACAAGCACTGATATGAAACATTAAATTTAAAGGATCCAGAAGATGAGGAAGACCGAAAAAGACCTGGTTAAGAGAGGTACATAAGGATATATAATAAAGATTGGAAAGAGTTAGAGGAAATAGCTTAAGACTTGTATTTTGTAGGATAGGAAATGAATTGTTAATGGCACATGCTCAACTGGGATTTAAAAAGGAAAAGAGGAAGAAGCAGACTTTACAAGCTGTTTCCCATTGTTAGGGTGTTTCTGATACAAAAATGAATACATATAATCATATTGTAAATTTTTGGTTAGTGGGCCTATTTTTGATATGTCAGGTCCCTCTTGAGTTAAAACTTAGGCTAAGCCACAGATCAGCATCTAATAAATGTTTCTGATATTCAGCGACTTTTCATACATTTGTTTTCTATACCTTTATAAAACACTCCTAGAAGTCCTTTTCTTTCTGACAAAAACCACTGTTTTAATCTTGGCACTCTTCTCATGTAAGCACATGTACAGATAACAAGCAAGCTTATTATAAGAAGACCCTCAAAAGAATATGCTGAAATTAAAATAAAAGTTATATTTATTTAAACAAACGTACACTGAAGTAAAAAGCTACAAACAATAAAATCAATTTTAAAATCTTGATAAGTTCATATTATCCTGCTTAAGCTTCATTTAAAATATAATAATTTGATAAATTTGTTTAATAAAATATAATAAATATGGCAAATGGGTACAGGCGTTTAACTTTAGGTGCCATGCAAATACTTATAGCTTTAAGTTGACGATAATGTGTTATGATAAAACTGTATGAACAATATTGTTTCAGCCTAGCCATTTACATCACTATAGCTGAAATGACTCCAGGCAAATTTTAACCTACTTCCTCTTGGTCAAGAGGTAAACAATAATACCATTGCCTCAATGCCAAAAGGCCAGAAAATCCTTATTACATGATGTCCTTGATGTATTGATTATTTCTGTAGACTATACACTTAAAATTATGGATACTGTACATTGTCATAAGGGACAAATAATCACTGGTGTTTACCCTTTACATTCTAGTGACCTTACAAAAGAGTCAATAACTTTTAGAATCCAAGTTTTGGTGATCAGTTGAAAAGGGAAAAAACTACTACCAGGAATTATTTGATTTGAAAAATTTGTTTATTCAGAAATAAAATTCATTTTTTTTTGTCATAAGAAGAAATGAGAACATTGTATGAGCATTTTACCAAAATATAAAATATTTTGTAAGATGTGTCAAAATGTATTAAAATTAATTAAAATTCACCATCCATCCAAAAAGTATTCACAAAAATTACACGTTATTATCATTTTACCTTTTAAAAATAATTTACACCTTACAAAACGTATCATTAGACAATTTAAACTTCGTTGTACTCGCAACAGTTTCTTGTATTTTTTTTTTTTTAACAAAGGTGTCACATGTGCTACTTTTGTCTGTGAATTCAGGAACTATGGGATGTATTCTTAAGTATTTTGTGTTATTTACATTTGAGGCACTTGGAACTATCAGTTTTAGTAAATCACCTAATGTGCAAATGATTTCTTCTGCGAAGTTAATTGAGAGTTAAAAATTATGTAGAGTTAGTCAGTTTCTTTTCAACAAACTTAAAGAGTGTAGCTGGGAACATCCACAAAATGGAAAAATGGTTTGTCCACTGCTTTTCTCTTTACTTAGGGTGATGATATACCCATTTATTAATTGTCAACACCACCCACACATGAATGAAAATCCATTTGCCGTTACATAATTTGAAATAAGAGACTGTAAATACTGTGAATCAAGGTGAAATGTTCGTTGGACCAATTAACAAACATCATCAAATAATATTAATAATAATAAATATAAATTAAATGTAGTTAAAGTGTTTTGGAAAAAAAAAATAGTATAGACAGTCATCTAGGTCTAGTATAGTATAGTTTTTTAAAAATTTGTATAAAACAAATGAGACAATTTACAAATGTACACCTTTTTAAGCCTTTTTACCCTAGCCGTAAAAGTGGGCCTATTGCTATTTTTGATGTCAGGTCCACTATATTATTTTAATAAATTATATCAATAATATCAGCAACAACAAAGTGTGGTTTGAGAGGGGGGGGGGTGGGTCATAAAAGTGCTAAGCTTATAATTACTTATATAATAATTATAACGGCAATATAATAAATTATATGATTAGTGAAATTTTTTGATTGGAAAGAAGAGTTAGTTCACTAAGTCTGAGACTGAGTAAGTTAGTTTCAGTTTGTTATTAAAAAGGATGAAGCCAAGCCCAAAATAAAGGGGAAAGTTATGTATATTTGTTTAAAATTACACATAAAAATGTTCAATTTGGTCAACAATTTAACTAACCATTGGTCATTTTATTTCAATTCAATTTGTACTGCTCATTAGTAGTGTAGTACAGTGACAACAATAGACCACATCAACAAATTTTTCTTGTGTCATTTTCATACCAAAATCACACGTAAAATTAGAATAAACCGAGATAATTCTGAAATAGGCCATTCTCAAAACTGTCCATGAAGAAATAAAAGATGATATGCCTATACTAGAGGACAGCGTTCAAGCCGTGGGAATTAAATAAGTAGTGTAAAAAGATATATTTAGACTTGAAAAAAAGGCAGGACAGTTGTCTTTCTTTTTTTTAAACCTAAAATATCTTATTGCACTGTTAACTTACATCTCTTTCTCACTTTCACCACAGCAAAGACTTTCAGACTTCAGACACCACGAATTGCACGCAACCCTCCATATTAAGAAGACATAGCACAATAAAATAAACACAATATTAAAACTTTCCTAAAAAATTTAATAATGTGTATCGATTTATTATTGAAAGCTTTCCTTCACTTTTATAACTTTTAATCACTTATTTGTGAGTTAATTATGGATAACATGGGGCGGAGAATTTTAATGGTGCCTTTGTATATTTAGTCGAACTTTAAAAATAGTTCCATGTGTTAGCGATGGTTCCGTGTCCATCCGGTAACAACTAACAACCAGTGACGCAATCGAATGTAAACAAATTATTTTTACTAATATATAATAGGATTACCAGTATTCCCTTTAATTGTTGTAATTACAGTTGCACCCTATTCAAAAGGATGTTTAGATCTATATACTGAAAAACAACAGCAATGAAATAAAGCACACATATGAATATGAGTATGTATGAGTATGATAATCGAAACTCTGAACTTGTCTTCTTCTAGAGTCTCGGTCATTATTCAATGACAATGTTTCAGTGATTGACAGTCTCACTCAATCAAAGAGGAAATTACAGCCTACTGTTCAAGACGGGGTTGATAATTGACCCCTGAAGTCAGTGAAGACGTGAATAGGCGTAAGGCTGATAGGGCCTAATAAAAAAATTCTGAACAGGCCACCTAATTCACCTATCCTTTTTAAATGTTGAGTCATTTAATTTTGACTTTTTACTTTTATTATTAAAATTAAAGGTAGGCAATTTAGTTTCGACTTTTTGAGTTTTAGACTTAGTTCAATTCTTAGTCTTATAAACTTAACTTTTAAAGTTCGAAGTGGATGCGTACACCGCGGCGGTGTACCTAGCGAAACCAATCGGCTTTGGCCTGCGTAAACCGCGGCGGTGTACCTAGTGAAATCGTGGGCTTAGGCCTGGGTACACCGCGGCAAAAATGTACCATTGCGCTGGTTTTAAGATATGCTTGTTAGAAAAGATCTTGTGTGGTCAAGTGGTAGAGTCGACGCTTAGCGGTAATATAGTTTGAGATCGATTCCCAGTAGGGGATCGAGTTGTTTTTCCTCCCATTTTAGTTTTAAAATATTTTGTAACAATTTAAATATATGTTTAAATATTATATTTAATACACAATATAAATATAAGTGTTTCAACAAGTTGTGCCAGCCTTTGACTTTGAAAATACCGGTATATTTAGTAATAAGACTTAAGACATTTGAAAACAAACTTAAAGCGCATGTATAGTGTATGTAACATGTATAAGAGAAACATGAATACTAAGTGACTAAGTGATATTCTATTATTTTCAACATTGTTCATGCAGTTGAATATTTACATTTTACTTTTACGAACACCCAAAGAAAATACCAGTATGAATAATATTCATTACGATATGAATATTAATGTCATTAATGTGCATGGTCGTATTTCAACCTTGAACCATCTTGCTGTCACTATGCCTTATGCATTGGCAAAATGTACATACGATATCAAAGGTTCATTCACAACACTCAGTCTCACAGCTAATCTTTTGAAAACACCTCGATTTTAGAAACTTGCGGAGCGGTAGCAAACTGTATAGCAAAGCCATAGGTCTGCGTTTACCCTTTTCATGACAGAATTTGTTTCCAGAATGGCATGACATGCGCTATTCTCAGGGTAAAACACGACGTTTTCTCACAGAAACCATTGCACAATGGGCTTGGGACAGGATTTGCGCTATGTCAAAGTTTTTGTGTTTGTTGGTTTTTTTGTTAAGAAATCGATCCTTGCGGGGCTGGGGGTGGTGGTGAGTTATGGGCAGGGGCTTAACCAAAAAGGGGGCAGTCACAAATCACGGCTCTGGATAGGGGTTGACCACAAAGGACGTCCGCACAACAAACTTACCTTTTGCATCCCCCCCTCCGCCGGCATTTTTTACTAATGTGTAATGCCAATGTAAAACTAAATCAATGATATTTAATTATTGTTAAAAGACTTTTAACAATCACTGCAGTGTTTCGTATTTATCATCATACTGTTGTTTTGTATTGACACACGCTTGGTATCACAATGACAATGCCTCAGACAACATTAACTTCACGACTTCATGATCAATGTATGAGTATGTGATTCTCTTCCCGTAGTGTATTTGTGGCGTAATTATATCTTGGTGCTAACAAAATAGATTCACTGGCTTCCCATTCATTTTTACACCACGCCCCGAGGGATCACATACAATGTTATATTTATAATGCCCCCCCCCCCAAAAAAAACACAAAAAAACAACTGGGTGGGAAGGGGCATGAGAGAATAATTTCAAATTAGCTCCCCTTTTTATGCCTATTAAGAGTCACAATCATATGATAAAACTTACAACAATTAATAAATATATTTGTATTTCAATATATGGGGGGAGGGGGGGAATAGTGTGGTTAACTTTAAAAATAAATCATGGTTTAACATTACACCCCCAGCCCCCTCCCTTCCAAAAAATAATAAGAAATGCTTTACATGTACTTTGCCACATAAGCGTGGAACTTACTCAATATCTTCCCAAGGTAATAAACGAATTTTAAATAAATAGTTTTCAGTTTTAACACGAGTATAACATTAAATCTATAAGTACCGGTTAGGCCAAAAAGTTAAAGACTCGCAAAGACCATAGTTTTGCTACTTTAAATCGCTGCGGTGTATGCAGGCCACAGACCATGATTTAGCTAGGTACACCGCCGCGGTGTACGCAGGCCAAAGTCAGTAGTTTCGCTAGGTACACCGCCGTGGTGTATGCAGTGCCGGGCTTTAAAGTTTTGTATAAACCCAGGCACAGGTTGCACTCGCACTTATTTTACCAAATATTTTTATTAAAATTAGGGGTGCAACCTATCCACACGTCCATGGGACATCAATTATGCTTATGCTATTAAGTGTGGGTGTCAGTTATAAAGAAAGTCGAAGAATCATTTTAATTTTCTCCCTTATGCTTGGGCTTGAGACAGAGGACTATCGTTTTTCTAATAATGTATATATATTTATAGATCACACAATTTATGATCAATGATTGCTTTTCAGTTTTCAAGTAGTTATGACTGTTATGGAAACAATTCTGTGTCTGTTCAACAAATATTATTTATATTTAAGTTAAAAAAAAGGCCATGTAACTCACCAAACTAAGGTTGCGAACTATCTGCGAGCTAATTGCAACCTCGACCTAAGGGTGTGACCTATCCACTGGCTAGAGCTATATGCAAGTATATACTAATATCTATAGTCTTGCACATGAAGAGTAATGAAGCAGGACTTTTTGGCGCAACCGTTTTGGCGCAGAGCCGTTTTGGCGCTGGACATTTTGGCGGCATTTAAAAATAAATTTTTATTTAACTTAACGTTTATAAACTTTTAATAAAGAGAATGTAAAATATATAAATTAAGCAACGTTTAACAAGTTACTAGTCCCATGCAAATTTTACATCGCGCAGAACTTCTTGGAATGGACTGCACTAAACTTATCGAACACATAACAGTATCCTTCGTGATTCAACTTTTCTTTACCACGCTTCGATGTAACATGTTCCATTTTACTGGTTTAACAGAATTATAATATGTGATATATTAGCCTAGAACACTCTTGCACTTTTATAAATGTGAAGCGCACGCATGATTAGGCAGGAACGGCTTAGGCCATCTGTGCGCCAAAACGGCTCTGCGTCAAAACGGTGGTGCCAAAACGTCACGTACCGGAAGAGTAATAGTGATAAGTAATAAATTAGTAATATGAGTTTGTCTATTACTACTACTTCTATTAGACTCACGCTACTTTAATTTTGAATGTTAATATTTTGTTAATAGGTTAAAAAGGCTTAGGCCTAGCCAAATTGTTCATAATTTATTATTGCAGGATGGCACAACAAGCAGCTGGAACTGATGCAATTAATTTTGTAGAGGAAGAAGAGAAAGTCCTTAAATTCTGGCAAGATATTGATGCCTTCCAAACATCCTTGAAGTTATCAAAAGCAAGGCCAAGGTTTATATTTTTTTCTTTAATTAATCCAACATACAGTTAGATACAGTCGATATAGATTTTACAGACTAGTGGCCTTCCATATAAAATGTTGCTTACTTTAATTAGATCAAGAATTTAAATCTAAAAAATCGGTGACAAGCAATTAAATTTAAAATTTTCATTGTTAACTGGATTTACTTCAGTTTGTAATGGAGCTACAATACATTACATACAATGCAGAGCTAGCATTACTGGGATGTTCTAAGATGAGGACGAGAACAAAACATTAAGCAATATAATTTTTAATGTAGTGAGGCCATGCACAATATCTTTCCATGCCTTCTGGACTTCTTCAATCTCCTCTAACTTTTTCAAATTCTTTCTTATCTACCTCTCTGTGTTATGTGTTTTTGGATCTACCCCATCCTTTTGATCCTTGAATGTTTCATAATTTTGCTTGCCTAATTATATTTGCAATATTATCATAATAATAATGGCTAATAACTACTGGTAATATTTTTATTTTTAAATTCATTTTTTAACATATACTTCCTGTCCAAGCAAAATAAAAAATATTTGACAAATAAACACTTGATGTCAAACTGCCCCTAAGGATAAGAATTGGGCTGAAGATATCATGAATGTAGCTTATGAGATATATAGCTTAATAAGACTAGTTAATCTATGTTCAGTTGTTTTGTTGTGTTCTTCATGGAATAACTGCATGTAGCAGCTGTGAGTAACCAAT